CTTGAGCACTGCCAGGGATGGGGCAGCCATCGTACTGCTGAGCATCTCTAATTTGTGTTTTTCACCCCATTTTGCTGTCCCCACCTCGCTCTCCTTTGAGAAGAGCTGCCCAAGCCCTGCCACCATTCAACCCTTGCACGGGAGCATCTGGGCTGGAGAGTGAAGGACCAAACTGTGGCTGCATCCCACTGTGATGCTCATGGCTCTGCTCACGTCCAGGTGAACTTTTCTAATAGGAAAGCAGGAGAGGAGAAGCTCCCATTGCTCTTATTGGCCACTTGACTTTATTCTGCCCCAGTTCCAGCTGACAGAACAAGATCTGTTGTTCATCACCAAGAACTGGACAGGTTTGGTGGGAAAAACACTGGGAATGATGGAAAAGAGCATCCCTTCCTCATGCACCTTGGGGATGACCTCCAGTGCTGCAAGGAGCAGAGCAGAGGAGCTGGTTCCTCTTGCATCAGGCCGTCAGTTTTATCTGACTGGTTGTAGCAGGAGCCACAGAGCAGAGCACAACCCACCAGTGGTGAGAGCCCGCTGCCAGGGAGCCATCAGGATCCAGCCAGCCTCTTGTGCTGGGGCTCGCTGGAGCCAGCTGGAATGGGAGCTCATGGCCAGTGCCAGCACCGACCCTTCACCAGGACCCGCTGCAGACGCTGCCAGCCCCTGTTTGGTCTGATTACATGGGGCTAATGGGGACAACCCAGCAGCCAGCAGCTGCCTCTGCTGCTCTCTCAGCCGGGATGCACCAGGGATCAGTTCCTCTAATAGGAACTAAACCGTCAGTTTTTCCTTCTAGCAGCAAAGATATCCCTAAATAGGAATCATCTCTGTGTGTCTCCCCATCCTGGTGATGGCCCAAAAGCTTCATCCCAGTTAAACTGTGGCTGCCCCATCCCTGGCAGTGCTCAAGGCCAGGTTGGACACAGGGGCTTGGAGCAAGCTGCTCCAGTGGAAGGGGTCCCTGCCTGTGGCTCCTGGAGGAGCTTTAAGGTCCCTTCAACCCAAACCAGGCTGGGATCCTGTGGTTCCCTTGCCCCTGGCAGGGTGCTTGTCCCATGGGGTGGCTGTGCCAGCGGGATGCTCCTCTGCCCAGAGCCCCCCTCAGCCTTGGCAGGGGTTAAACAGCCCAGGGAGAGAGGAAAGGGCTCTGGTGAGGCAAACAATAAAACTTCCACTGAAGTTTCTTAAGCAACTGGCATTTGCCCATAAGTGTACTTAAGCAGAAAATCACCAGAAAAGTGCTATAATCTGACAGATTTTTCACAGGCTTAAATATTCATGAATTAGAAGAATTGGCAGAATTTTCTACATTATTAGCTTTCATCATGGCTGCAGGAGCAGTTGGTGCACTGGCTGCTCTTCAAAAACTATTAATCTAGTCTGTCATCACAGCAGCCATTTTTTAATTAGCTCCTTTACTGAGCGATCTGGTGCAGGAGAGAGACGGGAACATTTAAATGGTATTAAAGTTTTAAAGGTGCCCCTTTCCATTTTTAATCGGAGTTCCGAGAGGCTGCACTGGGGGGACCAGGGAGCCTTCGTTTCAATGGTTAACTTCTTATTTTAGTCTGGGGAAAGAAGCAAGTCTTGGAAAACTGAGCTGCTTCCACCAGGAGGAGAAATCGCAGGGGAGAAATGGGGCTTTGAATCGAAGCTCACCACATTCCTGCCCGATGAAGTGTGTGTATGGCAGAGGCAGGGATGGGACATGGCACTGTGTGCTGCCATTTGGTTCTGGTCCCCAGCACGCTCGTATAAAGCCTCCTCCCGGCCATGCAGGACTTGCTGCTGCATCCCTTTGTGGTTCCCTGTGCCTGCAGGGAGCAGGTTTGAAGTAGCTGCTTCCTAAAAAGCAAAGGCCCTGCAGTGAGCACGTGCGAGCTGCTCCCGCATCCCTGCATGCTGCCAGGGAGGCCCATCTTTGACCCCAACTGGGAAGCATGTGCAGGCTGTGAGCTCACTGTTGCCTTCACCAGACATGGGGCTGCAGCAGCGCTGTTGGCATTCCATCTCTGCACCCCATCTCTGCCCTTGGCAGTAGGTGAGCTGTGTCTATACCTGCCCTCGTATCCTGGATTCACCAGCCCCTGGACCATGGCAAGTGTTGGCTTTGGCCTGCTCCAGAGGGAAGCAAGCTCCAGAGGCAGCGGTGCCTGCTGCAATGTCCTCCTGGGAGCACCTGGCCCAGCTCCGGGGTTAGCAGGATGGATGCTCTGTGGCTTGGTGGATGGCACAGACCCCTCTATCCCATCCATCCCGTCCCCATCCCTGGGTGCTGTGGAGCACGTGGAGAGCTGTTCTCTGCCCCGTTGCTGGTGTCAGCCCCAGGCAGGGAGGGCTCAGCTCCAGACCCAGAGCACTGCTCTGTGTGTTCTGAGTCTGAGCTTTGCCCTGACTAAACTTTATCACCCGTGCACTTGGCTCAGCCTGGGTTGAACCCTGCTTTGCTCTCAGTGCCAGAGTTGTTGCTCTCCTGGCTTGTTATTTGCATGTGAAAACACAGAAAAATTATGTCTTTATGGTGGTTTTAAATGTGCCTTTTTTGGCATCAGTGGCTGCGCCTCTGATCTCTGCTGCTCCATATTGCCAGAGCTTTAATTTGTGCCTTCCAGTGCCAGTGTCCTGCTGACTGGGGAAGGGAATTGCTGTGTGTTTCAGACTTCTTCCCCTCTATTGTCATGTAAAGTGAGGAGTGTAAAGACATTGGCAGCTAAAATGCCAATGCTGCAGCTATAACCTTTCAAGGAGTTGCTCTTTGTAAGTCCTTCCCCCAGGAGGAGGCATCTTAAAGGAGGTTTTTCTTTTGCTTGACTCGATATCGTAGTTAGGGTTTGAAAGGACCAAGACAGGCGCTGGCAGGTTCCCAAAGGGTGTGCATTAATATCGAGTGCTGCGACAGCAGGAGACAAATCACGCCCCGTTTTCACTCTGTTCCCAGCTCCAGATGAGGAACCACAGGGTCCCATTTAGCCTGGAAAGCACGAGGGTTCGGGGTGTTGGTTTTTATGGATGATGTGGAATAGGGGAAGTCTCAAACTTGCAGGGTTCAGGTGGGTTTTAAGGCTTTCTGAGAAACTATTTCTGTCTGACAGTGTGGACGTTTGCATGGGTGAAGCATTTTGGTAGTGGCTGTGATCCCCTGTGAAGCATAAACCCCGCACGGAGATCCTGATTCTCAGGAATAGGGTGCAAAACTCCTGCTCTATTCCATAGCTTCAAAGGAGGAAGGATGGGGAAACATTCCCAGAAAGTCTCTTGTTTACAGCGAGTGGCTTTTCTTGGAGTTTCCTTGCTTTGCTTTGGTTTGTGGTTTCGGGTTTTTCCATAATGAACAAGTTTTCTGCCTGTTGCTGTCCTGTGGTTTGGAAAAGTAGATCCCAGCGGGATCCATGAGGGATCTTGCAGGCAAAGGCTTGCAGAGGGGGTTGAGAGTCAGGACACAGCTTCTGCTGCATCCCCTTCAAGTCCAGTCTCCCCTGTGCAGCCCTTGCTGGGGGTGTGTGTCATAGAATCAGAATGGTTTGGGTTGGAAGGGATCTTAAAGCTCCTCCAGCTCCAACCCCTGCCACGGGCAGGGACCCCTTCCACTGGAGCAGCTTGCTCCAAGCCCCTGTGTCCAACCTGGCCTTGAGCACTGCCAGGGATGGGGCAGCCACAGCTTCTCTGGGCACCCTGTGCCAGCGCCTCAGCACCCTCACAGGGAAGAGCTTCTGCCTAAGAGCTCAGCTCAGTCTCCCTTCAGGCAGGTTCAAGCCATTCCCCTTGTCCCAAGCCCCTCTCCAGGTTTCCTGCAGCCCCTTCAGGCACTGGAGCTGCTCTAAGTTCTCCCCTTCAGGAGCCTTCTCTTCTCCAGGCTGCCCCAGCCCAGCTCTCTCAGCCTGGCTCCAGAGCAGAGCTGCTCCTCATCCTGCTCATCCCACAGAGCCCTGGGAGCAGGCAGGAGGTGCGGAAGGGCAGGGTCAAAGCCAATCGCTCTCCCCCTGCCTCATATTTCCGATGAATTTTTACCTCTGCTCCACCATTTGGAGTTTGCAGTCACTGGAGGGAGGCACGCACCCCTCTTGGCAATTATTTGTGATTGTTCCCTGCGAGTTCTTCAACAAAACGCTCTTTACCAGTACTCAAAGCTTCCCAAAGCATCGCGGCGCTGATAGCAGGCTGCAGCGCACGCAAGCCCATTCATTCAATTTGCTAGATAGGATAATTTATTAGCAGAGCATACTCAATATGTTCTTTAACATGTAGGGTTGGCCCGTGCTTTCTGCTGTGTAGTACTCATCTCTGCTATGTGCTGTTTACGTCTGGGGAGAAGAATGAGCCTGCGCATTTAAATTCAAATGCACATCTGAACCAAATGACTGGGTTGGTGGCGGATTACCCCTCTGTAATCCCATCATCAAGTAGCTGGGAAGGAGGAAAACACCAATGAAGTGTGTGGAAGTGATGGGGAATGGCAGGAGCATCAGATGGGGCTGGGGTTTGGAGCCTCTGCCCAGGCTGGAGGAGGGAGGGCAGCTTTACAGGCAGGCTTTGATTTAGGCAGCACATGGTTCTGTGCTGCAGAGCCCCTCGGTATGCAGGCCTGCAGGACACCACGGGGCCTAAAAGAAACTTGGACGTCTATTAAATAAGAAAAAATAATCAGCTTTATTTTCCATGTTTGGACAATGAAGCCATATGTGTTCCTGCTCATTAAACCCAGGTTTTTTCCGAGGAGCTCCACCACAGAAACAAGCATGGGAGCTCACATAATTAAAGGCTTCTTTTTCCCCCTGCCGTAGTCCTCTGCTCTTTGAAGAGCCTGGGGATCCCTGAGGAATGCTCTGAACTCTGCAATATTTTGATAGCTGCAATAACATAATCAAAAGATGCTTTCATGAAGGGAGCACCTTGTGTGCATCGAGGCCACCCCCTCTCCCCCCACCGGCCGCTGCTTTAATGGGGTCCAGAGCTCCAGCACAGATGGGGGGCTTTACTTTCCGCCTGGTTTTCCCCAGGGATGCTGCCTCGTGCGATGCTGAAGGAGCCGGAGCATTCTCCCCCTTGGTGCAGCCCCTTGCCCACCCGCCCCGAGCCTGGTGATGCTCTGGGGGCTGCAGCCCACCCTCACCTTGCACTCAGCTGCCCTTCAAATTACTGCACACAGCAGTTCTCTTCTGCTTGAGCGTCCGCCAGGTTGGTATTCATCCTGAAATGCTCATTAAAACCCTTCCATTTCCCCCTTTCGTTAGCTAACCGGCTCATCTGTTCGCATGAATCCTCCTCTCTGTGCCCAAGCCATTCAAATCCTGTTTTTTCCTGTGTTGTCTCTACAAGCTGCAGCCCCATGCGTGTCCGCTCCACCTGAGTTTTGGCAGAAAGTTGTGTTTGGAACGAGGAAATTGGGGCATTTCTTTAATCATTAGGCTGGAATCATTAAGCTTTAATCGGGCCAAATTAGGGTTTTGGATCCTGCTGCCTCGCATCAGTCTCTAATTGTGTGAACTCAGTTGCTCTCAAAGCAAAGCTGTCCCCGGGCTCTGTCCTCCCTGGAGGAGCACAACGGGCACGGTGTCACCGGTGCTCCCTGTGCTGGGACCCTGTAGCTTGGTGGCAGCGATGCTTTTGAGCCTTATTGCTGCTGTGAGCTTGTCTCAATGCAATGGGGGTCCTTGGGCTGGGCCATGGGGACCCTGCCTGGCCCAGAGCATCGCAGCAGTGCCAGGGTCACCGGTGTGATGGGTGGCCCTGTAGCTACAGCCAAACAACCCCGCTACCTTTCCTCCCACCATGAGGGGGTTGAGAGGTTGGGGTTGTCCCCATAGAAGCTGAACCCACTCCTTTCATTCCCTGCGTCATCTCTGCTCATCACCACTCTTCCTTGGGTGCTTCTGTAGCAGCGCTGGCACGAGGGGAGCGGTGATGATGCATGGTGGCATCTGTGCCAGTCGTCTCCGCTCTGACTAGTTCATCACCTCTTGTCTCCCATAAAAGCAGCTATTCACAATATAATGTGAATGAATTCTCATTAAAGCCTGCTAAATTACTCTGAGACAAAGCACGGCGCCAGCGCACGGGCTGCTCTGCCAACTCTTCACAGCGTGTGTAATTCACCACTGTCTTTGCCTTACAGATTCAGGAGGGTGCTGCTCAGCACCCCCATGGCACGGTGGGGGGGTCGGCAGCATCCTCAAGGCCACAGCATCCCAGAGCTGCATCCTGGAGCTGCACCGCAGGGCTCAGCCTGGGGCTGGGGCTGCCTGGTCCAGCTGGGAGTGGGAACACCAAACCCCCCCTGCATTGGGCAGAGCGCAGCTGGGACAGTCTTAGCTCCGTCTGCATCCTCCCCTTGCCCCACACTTTGCTCTTGCCCCCATAGAGCTGGAGGCAGGACCACAGCCGGGTGAGACCAGAGCCAACCGCATGGTTGGTGAGTTGCCCCCCCGATGGGCACACTGTGCATTGTGCATCACCCGCCAGTGCCGCCCCACGCAGGCTAACAGCAAGCCGCAGCATTCTGTTGCACTAAAAGAGCAGAAATCCACGTTGCTGATATAAATTCACAGAATTTACCCTTTTTTTGCTTCGTTTACTGCATGTGTTTCCCCACGCTCTGAGTTTCCCGTAGCTCAGCTGACTGCGCTGACTTCCCTCCCACTCACATGTTCATACCAAGACAAGGCAAGTGAGAGGAGGACGGGTTGGGTTTGCCCTGATAACTTCCCCAGCACAGCTTATTCAGCCTGTGGGACAAAGGATGGGGGTTTTATAGTTCATAAGCACTTCCCCAAACCATCTGGGCCTCAGTTCATCTGAAATCTGGCTTTTCTCTACAGCAGGTCCCCAGCAGGTGATGCTTTGGAGGCAGCTCCTGAAGCTTGGTCATGAGCCCATGATGGCCAACAGCTTTCTGATGGTGGTGGAGGTAGGGAATCTTCTTCTATGGAGCAAAGCCCACAGAGGGGCTGGATGTTTGTACCTTTCAGTGATGTTTTGCTGTCTTGGGTGCACTTGAGATGCCTCCTGCAGCTGTGGCCAGGGAGGGAAACCTGTGTGCTGATGTAAAGTGAGATCCTGGGGTGCGTTCAGGCTTTTTAGTTGCAGTCAGGATCACTGGGGCTCTGTTGGCTGCTGCCTTGGAGGTGCCCGATCCATCAACACCTCTGACAGCTCAAGGTTTTGCTGTGGGTCTCCCTTGCACTTCAAGCCATGATGGTTTTCCCCCCCTGGTTTGGTCTGGGACTGGTACCCAAAGTGAGAGCATCCCCAGCCTAAACCCCCGTATCATGAAGCCGCATGGCCAAAGGTACCCAAATTGAGTCTGCCCAGCGCAGGGAACAACGACAACCCCTTTGTCCCCACCCCAGCTCACCCACCCAGCTATTATGGGTTCTCACAGATCACTTGGCACGGGGCCGTGGTGTGGTATGGCCGGGTTTGCATTGTAACCTCTTATTACAAAACCCTCAGCGCTTCTCGGGATTGTTTCGCCTGTTATCATCTTTCCCACAATGCGCTTGCATGATCCTCTCTCAGCCTTAACCACATGGCAACCACATCACATAATGCAACTTCTGTTCTGAGATTATTCATATTCCCCCCCCTCCCCATTGTTGCTTTGCCAAGTTTGTCTTCTAATTCTGAGAAGCTGAATTTAAAAGAGCAGTGTCTCCGGTGCAAGGACATGCTTAGGAGGCAGCGTGAGCAAATCAACTCGACAAGTGTGTTCACAGGAGTCAAACCGGGGAGGGGAGCTGTGAAAAAGCAAAACAAAAGCCCCTCCAAATGTCTATTTTTGTTTTATTTGGTTCCCTGGAATGTCTCATCACATGGAATAACAATGCATCCCGGCACAGAGACTGCAGACAGGCTCCACTGAAAGGGCAGCTGAGGGGAAGATTGCTTTATAAGTAGGTTTTTATATGCAATCTATCACCAGTGCCAGCTCCCAGCAGAACAGGATAAACGACAAAGAAAGGGCTGTGCTAACTGGGGTGTGTGTTTGCAGTCGTGCTGCTGAGGAGAGCTGCCTGTGTCCCCATATCCCCGTGTCCCCATGTCCCTTGCGACATGGAGGGGATGGGGCATGGGTACCACTCTGGCTCCTGCTCCTGCTTCCCAGGGAGGATGCAAACGGCTCGGATCTGGTCCAGAGGGGAGGGAGAACAAGTGAGGTCTGGGAAATGTGATCGTTGTGAAGCTGGGGAGGAATGGGGTTGTTTAGTCTGGAAAAGAGGAGATGTCTGGAGAAGGAAGCATTTTCTGGCCCTTTGGCTGCACAGGAGCTGTGGCACAGAGGAAGGGGCTGATGCCGTTCCTGGGCCCTGGGCCACCAGGAGCTGCTGTGACCAAGCCCTGGCCTTGGGGCTGCAAAACCCCATCAGTCTGAAGAGTACTGGGACAATGGGGAAGTGCACCAAAACCCCAGCGTTTCTGCCCAAAGCTTCCCATCTGTGGCAGCCACCAAGGCACTGCCCGCTTCCTGGTGTCATTTCCCACGTCAGTGCTCAGAAGGGACAGAAGATGGGGAGGATCTCGTGTAGCTCAATATTTTACCTAAAATTAGCTCTTCCTAATTAATTTCCCTGGGAGCAGCGAGCTGATGCACTGCTGTCACACTTGAGTGCCCTCAGTGGGATGTGGGGAAGGCAGCACCTGCAGCCCCAGTGCATAGGGGTTGAGGCATCCTTTCTGGGATGGCCATTTCCATCCAAGGTTTTGCTTCGATTTGATGTTTAAACATTGTGAGCACACATGAGCTGCTGTGATGTGTCCTGGCCCAGCAGCCTCCATGGAACTGCTGCCATCAGAAACACTGGTAGATGCACCAGCAGTGCAGATGGAGAGGGACCATCCTTCCTGAAACATCTTCAGCCTCAAAGACCCTTTTTGTTCCTGTCGCTCCAGAACTGGCTCTGCTTTAAGACTCAGAATTTCCACTTTGCATCTTTTTTCCTTACCCCCCCCCCCCCTTCATCTTTTCCTTCCTTTCTGCATCTTTTCATTCTTGAGTCACCAGCCATACAGGCCAGTTTAGCATAAGAAATGAAATTAATTCTCAGGCTCAGGCTCCAAATGTAAATTCGTTTATTAATAATTTAAATAGATTTATTTATGCAGTTTGATATTTTTCAGGTTCAGGGAAGCAATTCATTCTTCTCACCCCGATGATCAACAGACGCTGTCATTAAGCTCCTTTTTATCCCCCCCTCATCCTCTTCTTCCATCTTAGCTTGCTAAACAGATCGGAGCCCACTGGTCCTCGTGGGCTCCCAGGGAAGATTTCCATGAGCTAATGGAAGTAAATAATTCATTTGGCTTTATCTTCTGTCTACTTCGGACATTTCCTCCCTGGAAAAGGGATGGGTTTTCCTTCCAATCGTTTCCAGTCTCCACCGTATGAAGAGCTTCTGTCTGATGCAGAAGCCTCCGAGGAGAGCAGCAGCAGCCAAAAATGCCACGTCAAGGCTGGAGGAGATCATATGGTGAATGCTGGGGTGTTAATGGCAGCCACAACATCATGCTCCCACCCAGAGCGGGATAAACGGCAACACCAGCTCCATGGGATGTGGTGGAGTATCTGAAGCAAGAGGCACGTCTATTTACTTAGAATTAGATGTCCCCAAAGCGAAACCCTCCATCTGAAAACCCACAAGCCCAAGCCCACCTCCTGACAGCTTTTGGCACCTGGTTTTCATCTGTGTAATGGCTCTGCCCAGCCCTCGGGGTAGGGATACCACAAACCCTTGGGAATGCTTGAAATTGAGATCCTTTTCCTTGCGGTCTGGACCCCCCTGAGATGAATTGAACTCCCCCTCAGTCTGGATGCGCTTTCCTTCGGCTGCGAGGTGAAGCCCCTGCTCCGAACCCTTCAGACTCACCGAGCTGCGGAGCTGAACCCTCATTTCAAGGCTCACCAGGTTTTGCCCCCAACTCATCGACACGAGGCCTCAGCACCAGGACAAGCTCTCGGTCCTGGCTCACTGGAGCACCGGGGATGTGCACAGCGCTGGAGGTTTCCCTTTCATCCCAGGCTTGTCAGAGGCATGGAAGATGCGGGCTCTGCTGTTCCGAGACCCCGGCGAAGCCCCGGCTCGGCGGCGGTGCCGCTTCCCCATCACCCCCCCTTCTGCTGCCTTTTGCAGAGCTTTAGCATTTCTCTTTTATCTCACTCTTGCGAGCTTCAAAGGCGCCGTGAAGCCAAGTTCTACCTTCCTGCAGATGGGGATTAACCAGCTCATGCTTCCCATGCTCGTCCTGCAGAACTGGAATTGATTTAGTTTGGTTTCAGGAGCAACTACAGAGCAGTTCCTGCACAGATGCAAAACCAGGTTTCTCAGAGGCTCTTTAGCATCCTGGCTCAAAGGCCAACACCACCGTCTTCAGCTTTTGATTGCAGAGGTTCATGCAAATGGAAGCCCTTTTCCCCCTTTGCCTGCACGGGCTGTTCTTGCAGGCAGGAAGCTTGCAGGAGCTGTTCTGTAGGAATGTGGTGGGGAGCCCAGCACAAGAGGGACCTGGAGCTGCTGGAGCGAGGCCAGAGGAGGCCATGGAGATGCTGCGAGGGCTGGAGCAGCTCTGCTCTGGAGCCAGGCTGAGAGAGCTGGGCTGGGGCAGCCTGGAGAAGAGAAGGCTCCTGAAGGGGAGACCTGAGAGCAGCTCCAGTGCATAAAGGGGCTGCAGGAAACCTGGAGAGGGGCTTGGGACAAGGGATGTAGGGACAGGCCAAGGGGAATGGCTTGAACCTGCCCGAGGGGAGACTGAGCTGAGCTCTTAGGCAGAAGCTCTTCCCTGTGAGGGTGCTGAGGCGCTGGCACAGGGTGCCCAGAGAAGCTGTGGCTGCCCCATCCCTGGCAGTGCTCAAGGCCAGGTTGGACACAGGGGCTTGGAGCAAGCTGCTCCAGTGGAAGGGGTTGGGACTGGATGGGCTTTGAGGTCCCTTCCAAACCAAACCAGGCTGGGATCTTGGGGTTCTACGATCCCCAACCTAGGATAGCCTCTGGTGGGCACATACCCTGGGGCATAAGATGGAGCTGGCGGGGAGCTTCCCACACAGTGCAATCCCTGGACATCTCTGCAGGACCAGTTTGTTCCTTGCTTAATTTCAACTACTCTTGATGATTTATTGCCCAGCTGCTGGATCTCAAACAATGGCCTGAACTTGTGAAAATTCATGGGGGTGAATGCTTGTAACTGCGATTCTGTAGCAGATAATGCTCCTGGTACAGGATTCCCCGTGGTCCTCTGGAGGGAAATCACCGTGGTTATGCAGATGCTTTCCCAGGCGGGCTCTGAGCTGCATCTCAGGCACCTCTGTGTTTCCCTGCTGCCTTTCCCTATTGCTTGGATCCCTTCCTGGGGTGCAGAGCATCAGGGGAGCAGGTCCAGAGTGGGGCTGGCCAGGGCTTTGCTCAGGGAGCAGCAATGCAGTGCCATGCATTGAGGGAGCATCGCAGAGCATGGCACTGGTCCACACTTCTTTTACACGGAAAACTTACTTTATGTGCTGGTTTTGAGGCAAAACATTCTGAGTGGAGGCTGGTTTTTGCAGTGTATTTGTCTGTTTTGCTCTGTTCTGTGGCAAAGGATGAACGCGCTTGTGCTGGTCTGAGATGGCATGAGCTCCCGCTGCAGTATTTTCATGTGAGAGAGTAGAAGTTAGCTGATAATGTTATATAGAATGTTAATAATATATAGATAATGTTATCTATATGGTAATAAAAAGGCTGATGTTTTCAGTAGTTTCTTATTATAAAAGGTGTGTTTGGAGGAAAAGCAAAGCTGGCTGCGGGTCCCTGCAGGAGAGGGATGTGGGTAGAGCTGGACCCCCAAGCACAGGATGTTAGGAAGCACCTTTCTTAATGTATGGGTTTTCCTCCCCACAGGTGGAGAAAGGAAGGGCAGTGCTGTGCAGCCCTCCTGTGAGCCTGGTTTCCCAGGAATGGGACATTGATTTATGATCAAAGGGGGAAAAAAAAAAGCAAAGCAGAATAAAAAGAATACTTAAGACTTAAAACCAGGGAAATCGTGTTTCTTCCTGTGTAGGTGTTACCTGGGAATCTTTCATGTTAAACTTAAATGGAATTAAGAATGAGGGGAAGATCGCCCTGGGACTGGGGTGAGCCATGTAGCCCTCTATTAAAATTAATCCAGGCATTGATCTGTACCATTTATTAATAGCCTGGTGTGGGGAGAGGAGCCATAAACAGCCCCAGCACCAGCCGAGCATCCACTGCCACCGGTGCCGCGCTGCTGCC